GCTCCGTCCTGCATCCTGCCAGAACGCCACGGTTACTCAACCTCTTCAAACAAAAAAAATCTGAAGGGGGAAAAAAAAAACATCTCTTCAATATGGGAGTCTTTGGGAGTTTGGAGGAAAAGGCTGACCTGCCCGTCAAACAGAAAATGGAAGATTATTTCTGCGAAGAGAGCCTGCCTCATGCTGTCACTTCAAACGTTAAAAAAACCCTCACATGTTATGTGTGTGTGCTGCCGAGCTGATTACAGCTGCAAACTCATTTTCATCCCTGTTAGACCAACTAATTTCCATCCCCACTCCATTATGAGCGCCTGCATCCCGAGGAGGCTTCAGTCGCTGCTGTAATGTTTGCAACACTGACCTCTAGTGGCTCCTGTGGAAGCATTGAAAAAGCGTTGCACCGCCTCAACTTGTTTATACATGTAAAAAATAAAAACGTCTAACAGATGAAAGATTTTTTTTTTCTCTCCTCAAATATTAAGCCTAAAGAATCCATGAGGGGCAACATCCGTTCTGCTGCATTTACATAAACTCAAATCATCCTGCCAGCAACAGCCGAGTCGCACCAGAGAGACAGAAGTTAATCTTTTTATTTACAAGTCTGAGGTTTGAACCGAGACAGGCAGACACAGGGGTAAACAGTATGACATGAGAGAAAGAGAGAGAGAGGTGGAGGGGATTAGTTTCTGCAGCCACCCACACAGTCCCTCACTTTCGGCTGCTGAAGGCCTCACTCTCTCTCTCTCTCTCTCTCTCTCTCTCTCTCTCTCTCTCACTGTCTCTCTCTCTCACTCTTGTAAAGCAGCTGTTTGTAACTCACTTCATCACAAGTCTCTCGTTGAGCCCCTGGTTTTGGTTGTGGTCCCTACAGAACAGTACAAAGCAGCACAAACCTCTCTAAATTACAAAAGAACCATCGAGTATCGCAGGCTTTACATTGTAGTCGCCGTAATGTCCACTGATGGATGTCTGACCTACTTAGACCATTTTTTTTCTCTGCGCAGTAAAAGCTGATCCCAGCAGCCAGAGAAGCTTTAAAGCACCTGCTTCACTAATGATAGTGATAATACTTCCATTCACTTTCTCACTGCCAAATGCAAATTGCTTTTTGAGTAACTACAAGGCAGCAAAAGATGATTGTGAATTTATAACATTATTATTTTATGTATTCATTTAAAATCAATGCTGGGTGTATTCACTGCAGGAAAAAAAAAGCCAGTCATTTTCACTAGTTGTGAGACTAAAAGTCAGATGTTTACAGTAGTAAATAACTCATTGGGGTAAATGTAAGGATGTCCACTATATTAGCTCAGATGTCCTCCGACAGCTCAAAAGCAAAAAGTTTATTTGGCTTCATTAGCAGCAATATCCTGGCCTGCGGGTTTCGGGTGACACGTGTTTCCATGAATGGTTGACTCAGGAAGAGCCAAGCAGCAGCTCTGCTCCTCTCCTATTCAACCAAAATGATCAAATGATACCAGCAGCCTGGTTAATTATCCCTTTACACTTTTAAAATCACACTTGCCAGTAATTTTGTGGCAGAAAATAGAAGTAAAAGCGGCTTCTCATTAACTGTCAATAAATATTTCATTTAATCATTCCTAGCCACAGCGTGTGGTCAATGCAGTGCGTCACCATAAAAACTAAATAATTGAAGTTACTAATTAAAGTTAGTAACAAATGAATAAATAAATCTGTCAGTTTCAGAACTACTGAGCACTTGTGTACATGTTGCCTCTGCTGCCGCCTTCATAACTGAAAGCTAAAAACATGAAGTGGCCCAGCATGAAGTGCTTAGCTTGTGTGAAGTTAATTATATCTCTCTGTATTTCTGTCCAGAATGCATTTTTGTATTTTATAAACATGCAAAAGAAGCTATAATCTGGGCAAAAAGCATTTGACCAACTGCAAGGTGATGCATTTCTCAGGTCTTCTTAAGATCTTTCATGAATTTCAGAAACTGCTTACTTTTTTTTTGCTTGATGTTTCCGCCTTCTTTATTTTTCAGATCATGCTTCATGACATTGTGTCATAATACAGTTAGCTGGACACAAAACACGTGAGAAGCAGCTAAAGCCCAGAGAAAGTGTGGAGAAACTGGAAACCTCCGGCGCAGCAGCAGGAAGGCCTTGTTCCTTAGAGGCAGAATATGAGGGAATTGTGGATTACTAAATGCCACATGTATAATAAGGATCAAAACATACAAAACACAAAGAATATGAAAAATTCAAAAAAGGAAAAAAGGAACTGATCTCATTAATAATTAAATTAATTTGATTCAGATTTTTACAAGAGGTGTTTAGGGCCCTAATCTTCTTCCGTAGGCTTTCAAACATGCTTATTTTCTACAAAACATTTTGTGCCTTTATACAAGCTGCCAAGTTTCACTGTGACCAGCAGGGGGCAGTGAACTACCAACAGTAAAGGGTCATTTAAAAGTATCAGAGGTAATATTGTGAGTCATGTCTCTCCAGCTTTTAGCACTATGACTACCTATGTGACCTCTTAAACAGAAAGGTAAAATAAGTCATCAGATCGCTGGATGATTCAGGAGTGATTCAACATGAGCAAAGTGCTGACAGCACATAACCAGACCACAACCAGAGCAAGTGTCGGCAGAGCCCTCACATCCCAGATTTATCAGCTTTGTTATCAACATTTATTCTCACGAAAGCAGGTTATTTTCCCCAAAAAAAACAAAAAAAACTGAATTGCTGCCAGCATTGCAAAGCCAAAGGAGACGGCCTGTCTGGCTTACTGAGCGGTATCTCAGACACTGAAAAACAAGAGAAACTGATCCGGGGTGAAACTGGACGATCTTTCTTCAGGAGCACAAAATAATCACATTAAAGTCAAGATTAGCAGATAGTTAGCAGATGAGGTTGTGCTTATTCTGTGCCAGATATTTTTTTAAACTTGCACAACATTAACTGTTGTGTAAATTAAAAAAAACAAAGAAATTTAAATCATTAAAATTGCTCTTTTATTATTTTAAGATAAAACTTCCAAATCCCACAGGATCATTGCAAAAGGTTACAGTCAATTGCAGAGATTAACTCCCTGAGGGCCTTGTTTGTGGTACTTTTATTTCAGCTATTTTGACAATTCAAAAAATAGAAATCAACCTTTGACTCAACCATTTTGCCTCACTGTTTTCTTCACTACAACATAATAAATAAGTGCACAGATTATTGCTACAATCACTCGTCAATAGGACATCAAGATAATGTGCTTAAGGCTGAATTTTGAGATCCAGCTGGGGAGTTTGGGCTCAGACACATGAGCTGTCAATCATGAAGGTCTAAAGGTCAATAAGGGCTTCAAGAGGCCAAAAGAAGAGGATTGTGGGAAAAAATCAAGATGAGATCCTTAGGTTATCTTCACAATTACACACTGAAAGTTCAACCTGGAATGGGAATAAACCTGAGTTAATGACAAGAATGCAGAAACAGAACTTGCATTGGTTATAGCTCTAAAACCAATTTATGCCTCTCAATGGACAGGGCCATCAGCATGGGTGTAGAGCCATTATACAGATATGGACTGGAAAGCAAACTATCACACCACAATGTCCAAAGCCTTCAACACCTTCCGGCCAAAACCATCCGCCCCATGTAAAAACTGTTTGACCTCTGACATGTTGATGAACTCATTTTCCCAATAGTTCACAGTCTGTGCCTCCATCAGACCCTCAAAGGAGTCCTTCCAGCAGTCGATAGTAACGTCAGCCGGATGATGTGGTTCTGTGGATGTCTTCAGTGTGCATCGGGGCGGCGTGCAGCCTCGATGTGAGTCAGCTCACAGTTTGGGAAATGGTTCTCAACCATCAGCTCAAGAGTCAACACTTGTCTCAATGGGAGAAGTCAAATATTTAGATGTGTTGTTCATGAGTAATGGAGCAGTAGACAGATGGGGGCTTTGCCTGGACTAATGTGAGCACCACTCATCAGTCATAAAGGAGAAAGAGCTAAAATAAGAAGTGAAGCTCTATTTTTACCAATCCGTCCATATTCAGACCTTCACTGTGGATCATCATCCAAAGGATCAATCCTTTAACTGATCGCTTGGCGTCAGGCGCACAAGATGAAGATACTGACCCAACATCTCAGGAAGTAGCTTTTATACTGAATAAAAGCTACTTCCTGATTATAACTAACATTGGTTTTAGCTTTTGACAATGCAACGCTCAAAATCTTAAACTTATGACTTATTAAAGAAAAAGGGACGCAGCTGCTTTGCTACTAATTGTCAACAAGATTAGCTAATAACAGCAGGAGCTAATCTGCCACAGAGATTAAATATCAAGTCTAAAAACATAATACTGTCCCAGACTGACTGTTCTGTTCGTTGTGTGGAAAATGTTAAGAGTGTTTTTTGGTGTTGAACCGTGGAGTTGTTGTCATTGGCAGCAAGTCAGTGTGTGGCGCAGCCGACAAGGAGAGCAAGAAAAAAGAAGAAAGAAGAGTTCAACTTGTTCTGCAGTATTTTTGGTGTTTTTCCCTTTGCTGTGGTGCACTGCATTTAGTTAACTCAATTGTTCTATGTGGCTATGGATGGAATGTAAAACAAATAGTTTTTTGTTTTTTTTGCCCTCCAGCGTTGTGCACATGCATGAAATTTCCAGATGTGTCGATCAGTTTCAATCTCATTCAATCTCGCCATTTCAGCCACTGCAGTGAGCAGAAGACTTTGTCTCTGAATTACAGACATCTGACCGCACTTTAAAAAAAATAATAAAAAACTGGGAGCTGTGGAAGAACTGTGCTACAGCAGCCAGAGCAAAAATTGGGTTTGCACCATGACCTGCAGACATGGAGGCTTGAGCATGAGATAAAATAAACTGGGAGGATTAAAATACTGGACTTTTCCACAATTTTCTTTTTTTTATTGAGGAAGTAAACGCCTGCAGCTTCTCAGCAGCTCAGCAGTGATTATTGGGAAGCCCCAGTCAATATGAAACAAATGTAAAAAAAAATCATCTTCACTCACGAAGCTGGAAAAAAAGCAGGAAAGACTGGAGCTGATCCGGCCCAACGATGACATATGGAAAAACACACCCATCTTACAGCACTTAGAAAAGAACATGCTCCAAGAGATTTAGACAAGAAAAAGTTTCACTTTATTTCCATTTAATGGACAGACATTTACAGACATACACAGTAACTGGTGAAAGAATCTTATTCTTTATCCTTGCTTTTAGAATGACATCTAGAAAAGAGCAAAGTAAATTTATTTATTCTTGTTTTCTAATCCCTAATCCCACTCTCTATCCACCCACTTAAAATAAATATATGAAGAGTGCCATGAAAATCCTATAAAAACTAAACCAAAGCTGGATTTTTATTTTACAAATCTTATTTTAACCCTCAAATATGGTTAGTCCAGAGTAACTTATGTTCTTCAGTTGAAAAACTCCCAGTCTTTGCAAATATTGTTTTTCAATGTTGTGCAGAATTAACCCAAACTGCCTTTCCAGAACAAATTCAACTGTCACTTAACATTTTAAACATTTTTTTAAAAAAACAGCTTAAACAAAACAGTATCGCTGTTTTAATTTCTCTTTTTTTTACATGTATATTTATTCAAGTTTATTTTTTCAGTGCTTTATCAGTGCTTTTATATCAAAAGGCCATTTATCTGTTTGTCAGAGGAGAAACTGTATCTCGTTGAACAATAAGGCACATTCCTGGTTAAATAAAGAAAAGCAGTGTACACAAACGCATCACGTTTGACCTTTCACCTGCAGGAGCCTCTTGTCAGCGAAGCTCTGGTTTCAGTTCTGACGCTGAACACCGAGGAATCAAAGCTGCTCTGTTTTTGTTCTTCCTCTCTCAGATTTAGGCTGTAAAAGCCCCACGTTGGGGCTCCGGAGGGAACCAGCGGGTAAATCAGTCGTTCATATTCGCTGGATGTTGTGGTTCGGTGGCCACTGAATATAAATTAGTCTGATAATTATTTCTTCTTGATTCTACCAGAGCTTAGTCCTCATTGATATTTTAATTAATTTTAGTTGAGGTGCATTTCCAGTCCTGAGGAATAAATATAAATCTTATGATTTTTACTGTTGGTATGAAATGTAGCTTGCTGAGTTGAGCAAGCGTTCATCCTTCTGGCTTGTTTTAACAGATTGTCAGACAATTGGGCCCTGCATATTTTTACCCTGCAGTAAAAATATTTCCTTCCTGCTTCAGATCATAATTGTTATTTTTGTGCGTCTTTAATTCAGTTGAATAAATGAAGCGTTTCTAAAAACTGCACCACTAACGAGGAGATAAATACAACCAGCTAGATATGATAAGGAGTTGATGAACCCTGTTTCCTGCTTTCTTGAGACAAACACTCAGACGTTCTCGCAGTTAATTAACTTCAGCAACAACGGAGCGTTTCATGAGTCTCATGTCTGAGTGAGCGGTCGCTCTGTGTTTCTTGTTTTGTCTGCTTGCTGATTCTCGGCTGAGCTCCTCATATATGCGTGGCCTCCCGTTTCTTCTTTTGCCTCCTGCGCCTGCACAGCAGAACAACCAGCAGAATCAGCAGCAGAAGGCCCAAAGCCCCGCCAATGAGGCCTGCTGCCAGGGGCAGGTTGTTGCTCACCGGCGTGTACTCCATGCAGGACCGACCGCTTTCCCCGACGTCGTTTACAGCCACCACACAGACCTCCGCTTTGTGGTCGATCTGGTTCAACGTTGTGCTCCTTTGGTCCTTCTTCACTATCTGCTTCTCCCCACCTTTAATCGTCACAACATAAGATGTGACGTAAGAAGGCGGGGCACACCAGCGAACCACGACTGCCGAGCCGTTCCAGGTCACTGAGGTCACAGTGGGACTTTCTGGATCCTTGTCGGGCAAAGAGAAACCCGGGCACAGGCAGCCGAGAGAGGCAGCGAGCTCCTCGCAGGGGGTCTGCTTCTCTTTGCAGAGGTGGAAGTCGCACCGTTGGAGTGTTCTAGCAACTGTAGTCATAGGACGAGTGGATATCTCCTCATATGTGTCGTAGTCGTCTGTGGGGATGACGGGGCCCCTGGGAGGCGCTCCTGTGCCTGCAGAGGACAGAGGACAGAAACCCCTGATGGAAAGCAGGCACACGATCACGAGGGGGAAGGGACGGTTCCTCATGGCAGGCGATGAGCTGGAAACAATAAAAGAGCAGAACTCCATCAGCAGAGGTGGCCAGAAATGTGTTGCATGTAGTACTTTGAGGAGTACTATTACTACGCTGTACTTTTTGTTTTGAGTAAAAGTAATTTTATTACAAAGTATCACTTCTCTTGGATGCTCTACCTACTGTGAGTCACTTCACCGAATGACTAACGAGCTAACGAATCAACGAACACACACACACACACACACACACACACACACACCTGCAGTTTTTGTTGAAATTTCATCAGCATTATTTTGAAAGAAATTGATTTGGATGAATGTTTCTCTGTTATTCGTATGAATTCCTATTGAATTGGTTTTTAAAATACCCACATAACTTTGTATTTGGTCCATGTGATGTGATTTTTAAATATTAAATGATTGATCAGTTACTCAGAACTTGAGTAGACATTTTACTAAATACTCTTTTACTCTTACTTCAGGAAAAACATTTTGCAGATACTTTTTACATTTCTCTCTCCTTCAAAATTTCAATCCTGCAATGTTTTATGTTTATCACCTAAAATCATGGATCACAACAAAAACCTTGTTTCATATTGTGGATATCAGTGAGATAACATTATTAAAATCTGGATTAAATACATGGAGGTTTGTCCCTGAAATGTGACAGAATGTGAATAAGTGAACTTCCTGTAACTTAGGTTTTGTTTATGTTGAATGAAAGAACCTGACAGAGAACAAACCGTTCTCTTACGATTCACTGATCCATCATATTTTCTAGATTATATGACATTCAACTGAACAACTGTAACAAATCAAACTCATTTTTTAACACAGGCTCATATCATTCAACCAAATCCCAGCTGGAAGCAGAAGCTATTTCACAAAGTAAAACCACACTGCGTTGGCAAAAGCAGATAGCAAAACGAGGACACTTAATTTGCAAACTTCATCCCTTGGTTCCCTTGGTGATTTATAGAGTTGTTTACAGAGAACACTTTGAAATAATCCCCATTTGTAAAGATTTGGAGGTGCTTCAGACTAAATCAGCATTCCAGGCGGTATTGCACAACTGGCCACAGATTCCTGCACGCCCAGGCAGAGAGCACAGTCTGGTCAGCTGGATCTGATTACAGGAAAAGGTTTACACCAGGCGTTTACCTAAAACATGATCTGAAATGGGCTTTAGAGGAGAAATTATGTCCCAGGTCATTCTGATTTAACTCCTATGAATACCAGCTCACTGTCTGTTTTTGTTGCAGATAAAAGCCATTCACTCATCCAAAGTATTCCATCCGTGCAAACCAGCAGAAGAAGACATGAACTTACCTGTTGCTTCAGATTGCAGCGTTGATCAGAATGTGAGTTGAGCTTCTCTGTGTGCTGCGCCTCATTTGCTCCCTCTCCTCCCCTCACTGCCCTCTTTATGTTTCCCTCCTGCCCAACAATCACCTCCTTCTTTCTGCCTGCCTCCCCCCTTCTGCCCCTCATTCCCGATCCTGCGACTCCGCCTCTCTGCCTGCTAAACACATTTGCTTTGTCACTGAGTGACGTGCAGGCTTGGTAGTGATTTAACCACAAACTGATGTTAGTCAGATCATCCGCTATTGCAGCCAGGTTAGATGACCCGCAGAAAATCTGCTAGCATTCTTTAACCACATTATTCAGAGCGTGTCTCCCTTCTTAATGAGCGTTTGTTCTCCTTTTTTGGAGAGGATGATTGAATGGATTCTGAGGAATCCCCGCATCAGGGCTTTGATTCATTGAGGCAAGCAGGGGAGAGGCTTTCCACCTGACTGGTCAGAAATGAAAAGAATGACCAGCAAAGTTGAAAAAAATAATAACAATGCAACAGTATTTTATTAAATGACTAGAAATCAGAGTCATAATACATTTATTAAAAAACATATTTTACTACTGGTGGATAATGTGTAACCTTCTTACAGTGCGCTGTGTTCAGATGAAGCTCATTTTCATTTTGGGCCAAATCAAGATCATAAATGCTCTGAAGGGGCCCGATGTGCCCAAACATATTGATAAAACCTGTTCACAAACTGTTTAAACATCAGTGAATTAGTAAAATTAGTTAATATTATTGAACATCTTTCATATTTAGGAAATATGATGAGTCAGTGAAGTATTTGTGGTACTAATTTGGAAATATTTGCGATATTTGAGCTTATTTATGACAGTAAATGCAAATTTTACTACTCGCTGTACAGATCATGGAGTATAATCTGACATAATTAAGGCTGAGGCAGCTGTTATTTACAAGCACAAAAGGTTTTGACAATTTTTGAGAAAAATAAAACAATAAATTAACAACAAAAAAGTGCAAAGATTTGTTGATTTTGTGTAAATTTTCATGATAATTCTCAAGAATCTGAAATGATTGACTGATATAATTTGGAAGTAAACAGATAAAAACTGCATTGATTTGATTTATAACATAATATTTAAGCACTCATTGTGTTTATTCTAGAATCTATAGGGCCACATAAAAAGCTATGGCTGATCTCATATTTACCAACTCTGGTCTGCTTGTGTCTCTATACAGAAAAAGCCGTCACTCTCCATGATACTGCCACCACCATGTTCCATCATTGTGATGGCGTACTCAACTTTGAGTTTCATCTTGTTTTCCAGGTTTGCAGAGTGGGAAACCACAAACAAAACTTCTTGTGGATTTCTTTTATAAAGGCCAGAATAATGTCTAGTGTCTAATAGTTGTGACAGATTCTCCCACCCGAATTGCCATGTCCTTTAAACTGCCTCTCTTAGAAAAACTGTTCAAATTCTTCTTTATCTCGGGTCTGATTTCCACTGATAAACCTCAGCGGTCTTCACACCTATTGTTGTACCCAGAGTAAACTACAAACAAATGGAGTTTCTAGACACAAAATATTGAGTTCTGTTATTGACCAAATACTTATTTTCCACCTTGTTTTGAAAGTAAATTTTTAAAAATCCTACGTGAGTCCCTGGATTTTTTTTCTCTGTTTTCTTGTTTTCGAAAACAAGTTTGAAAAAAATGAATATTGTCTCTTAAAGCTGAAGTGAAGCATAAAAATCTTGCTAAGTAGAAAAACTTGAACTTGCACAATCAGTGTCTGACTAAATATTTTTTTGCCTCGTTATATTGAAAAAAAAAATCAAAACTTTATTTTATTTTTACTTCAGAATTACGCACCAGTTTCTATTTGGTGTAATACGTTTGTGGTTGTAAAATGACAAAACGGTGAGAAGTTTGAGGACTGTGCATAATTTCGCAAGACACTGAATATTCCGGGAAGGCAGGAAGTCATGCATTACTAATTAAAATGATCAGACGCTCTGATCAGCTTAAGATGACAGGATGCTTCAGGATTGTTGTAAATATCTAAACCAGGCAAACTGAAGCATAATTCCTCAGAGAGTAATCACGGATATCTTTAACTCTTCCTGAGAAGACAAAGCAGAACAAGATATGGATTAAAGGTCAAAGGAAAGAAAAAGCTGCTGGAATGTTTTATTATTATTATTTGAAAAATGAATATATGAATCAACTTAAAGTGTCCCTTTTTTCCTTGTCTCTTTTCCAAAACCAACTTACTTGAATATGTTTTCCCTTATTTACCTTGTGGTCATTTTCCTCCTGTGTGTCTCAACGTTTCAATGTGGGCAAGAGGTTTACATCTACATCCAGGAGATGTGTGGGTATGTGTTTATTGTGCAATATGGATTGTATTTATCCAGTGATTGCATCTGAGTATAATACCTTTAAACATTGGCTGCTTATGCTGTCCTTAAATCACTCAGCTTACGTTTGCCACAGCTTTTAATGGAGTGAGTCAGATGTGGGTTTGAGAAAACCATTCCTTCCAGAACACGTTTATAACCTTGAGGGAAAAAATATAGCGCAAATGGGATTACTGGCAATTTAAAGGAAATGGAAATAGGATCAGAGTGGTGGAGGGCATTTCTACAGAAATGACACAAATTACTGTATATGTGAGGGACGTGTTGTTGCACAACGCGTTGCTTCTGTTCACCGCAAACCGGCTGCATCAGTTTTTCCCTGCTGAACATCTGGCCGTCTGGGATCGAGAGACTGCTTACTCCATCAGGAATACTTTATTTTGAGTTCTGAAATGGATGCAGTCCAAAATAGGAACTACAAGGCCCAATCATGGAAAAACCAAAGGAAATTCAGAAGAAGTTGAGCATTTGACTTTAACCCTGCCAATTTATGCCTTTAAATCTGCGATCAGCATTTGCCTCACATGGTCTAATAAAATCCTTTTGGCCCTTTATTGGCCAAATGGGAAAAGGCGATTGTTATGAATATTCCCCCTCAGCAAAAGCTGCAAATAAATAATGTTTTTATAACATTCTTCCAGCTAAATACAAAGAATCAAGGCCCTGATTCTTGATAATGATGTAATAAGCTCACTGACGCACTGCAGCTAATGGACATTATGTTCTACTGCTTAGCTTCATAACAAGATGTTGTTTGAAATAAAGCAATAACCGGAGGCATGAAATTAAAATACAAGAGAGGGTGGGTATTTTTCGCTTCCACAGAGTCATTAGTAATATAAAATATGACAAGAACAGCAAGATTTTCCAACACTGAAATGCTCAAAAGAACCTCCACAAAAAACTTTGCAAAAACGTTGCATCATCTCTAGATGCACAACAGTGCCACGGTGTCTGATTTTGCTTCTGTGCTGCTGTAACATGTCATTGCAAAGACACGACAACATGTTGAAAACAATTCTAGTGCCCTGCTGCCATTGCAGATTTATTGGTCGTAAGTCCGTGATGCAAATCTCCAATTTCACCACATGCCAAAGATGTTTTACGAGATTGACATCTGGCATCTGTGGAGGCCATGAAAGTGCAGCGAACTCATCATCCTGTTCAAGAAACCAGCTTGAGCTTTGTGGTGTATTATCCTTCTGAAAGGAATATACAAGGTCAGCAGAAATGTTGAGGCGGCAGAGATTCATGCTCTATTGGTCAATTACGCCACCATTGATTCAAGCTGGATGAATCCAAGCATTCCTGTTTTTACGCCAAATTCAGATTTTGCCATCTGAATGTTGCAGCTGAAACTGACACATCAGACCAGGCGATGTTTTCCAGTCTGTTTACGAACATTTCCAGAGGGCATTTTTTTTAGTTCTTGATGTCTCATATAAATATTTAAAATCTTGTTTTTGCTGAATAGCTGCTTAGGAAGTTTATTCCTGTGACTTACAGTTTTCTGTTGTCAGCTGACAGGAGTGATGCTTCTTCTGCTGTCTGGTTTGTTCCCAGAGATGGTGGTCTGCATACCTTTTCATTACAAGTCACTGTTTGAGCTGAGTTGTCTGTTCTCCTTTGACTTCTGAAAGTTATTTTGTTCACACAGCTGCTGCGCTCTGGTTGTTTTCTCTGAGATGGCTGAACGTCTACAGTTTCTGGAATACTGCATGGAAGCAGCCCATCCGGCATCAGTATCCATGCATTCAGACACTTTATCCCATAAATGGAGAATTAGTGTAGACATGTAAATAAAAATAACAAAATTCACTTTTGAGTACACAATTTATTTAAATAAATAACTAGATTTAGAAAAAAAATGAATATTTTACTTGGTGTTGCTCCATGGTTTTTATTGGGGTTTCTGTGTTTATTCTGGGTTAAAATGATAAAAACACATCAGAGTTTTTAATGTTTTTATGCTGTCTTGACATTTATGTAAGCAACTTTATATTGGGGGGAAATGGAGGAATTTCAAAATGTATTTTTTTAGATGAAACAAGGACATTGCTGTGAGTTTAATTGGAGCGGAGGCTTTCATTATAAAGACTCTGTATTTGAGTGGAGGTCTAGGACGCCACCTACAGGACAATGTAGACATAACATCTCATTTTGACTTCGCTTTTTCATTGTTTTATTATACATGTCCTGTGGTGTGCAGAGTCCTGTAGGGAAAGATTGCTGTACAACATACTTATGAGCTAAAAGTACTGCTACGAACATTTCCAGAGGGCATTTTTTTTGTTCTTAATGTCTCATATAAGTAATTAAAATCTTGTTTTTGCTGTTTAGGAAGTTTATTCCTGAATTAGGGCGTTATTTCTGAACAGGTGAGTGTTTGTGTGTGAGCAGAAAAAGAGGTAAAGTCACCGCTGATGTTTTCTCCAGACTCGCTGCGCCTTTAAGGCTTCGCGCAGGGAACAAAAACACAAGCGCAACCTTTTGTTGCGTCATAAAGACGCGACGGGCCTCTGAGTGAAAATCTGGAAATGGGCGAGTCGTCGTGGAGGGCCGCAGTGTTTAAAGGATCCGAAGAATAAAAGATGAGTGTCGTTACCGCCCGGAGGGTCTGATTCCCGGGTTTCTGTCGCCTCGCAGCCGCCGCCGCCTCGTTGTTTGCCTGCAGGCGGATGTTGAGCAGCGGAGTGTCGCATCTTCTTGTTTTTCCTCTGCGGCGTCTGGCTCACAGCTCCGTCAACAGATGTAACCGGACCGATCCATGCCCTCAGCGACAAGAACCTGCGCAGTTTAAAGCCTTCGCACATCAGAACAGCGAATAAATCGCAACCAATGACATCCCGGAGGACAGAGTACGCGGCCAGCGTGGACACCGCCGCGTCCGGCGCGGGGAGCCGCAAGCAGAGCATCATCAACGTCCCCGACAGGATGGAGCCCTGCTACGACCGCAAAGAAGACACCAAGGGCGGGTTCGGAGCCTCTCAGGGCGGCGGCGTGACGGTAACCTCGCTGAAATCCCGCCTGGCCCCGACGATCCAGACCGCCATGTCCGCCGCCGTGGACACGCTGCTGGGGGAGGTGGTGGTGGTGCTGAACGAGACCCAGCAGGAGCTGCTGCACAAGGAGCAGGAGAACCAGAGGCTCAAGGTGCGGCTGGAGGTCTCCGAGAGGGAGCTGAAGACCCTGCAGGAGTGTCTGTGCAGCGCCCAGAAGCTCATAGACCAGCTGCAGGTCTCCTACTCGGGCCCCCAGCAGATCGGCCAGTCGGTGTTTGGCCCCTCGCTCTCATCCATGGCTTCTCTGACCCCAGGCTTGGACCGAGACCACCAGAACCCCAGGAACGTGAACGGAGCCGGCGTGGATCTGGGTCTGGGCGGCTCCGTGGATGAATCTCTTCATGGCTTCGAGCCGAGAAATGAATACAAGATGTGCCAGCTGTCGATTCAGCCAGACGGTTCCGTGACGAACCACACTCTGGACTCTTTTTCCTCCAGCTCCTCTCACATGTGCGCAGACACCAGAGGAGCGGGTGAGTCCACAATCTGTGGCGCATTCATCCATACTTCATGCTTTAAAAACAAAACAAATATGGAGGGGATAAGAGCGCATCATCTAAAATAAGAACTTTGCTGGGTCTGTCACGATAACACATTTTGCTAAACGATAAATTGCCCCAGAAGGTATTGCGATAAACGATCATATTGTTTTGAGATTCAAGCAATGTAATGGTAATGACATAATAATAATAATAATAATAATTATCAATGAACTTTAAATTCTGATGAACTTTTAACACTGGAACTGGAAGACATTTTAAATATCCAAAAACAAACAAATAAAGCAGCAGAAACAACAAATACATTCTTTGCAAGCAAAATTAAATAAAATGCCTAGTTGGGACCAAAACACCGAACTGAAGACTTTTTATCATCCAGCTTTTGGTTGAACGAGAGAAAAGAGAAAAACAATAAAAAATACAGATGGAAATTTTAAAGTTTGTTTTAATTTATCACTTGATTAATTGCTTATTGTGATGGGTAATACAAGAGCAAGGTTTTGATATGTAGTTAAACTGCAGTTATTGTATCTTTGCCTGATTTTTATTTCAAATTATTTTGATACAACCAAGAAGTTTATGTTTGATAGGGAAAGATAGAAACCAATTTAGGATTATTTACTAGCTACAAATGATCAGGGTTTTTTAAATGTCATGTCAAATTATTTATCTATATCTTGTAGTCATAAGAATTATGACAACAAAACTTGATTGTTATAATGTGATTAAAAACATGATCACAATCTCATTATTTAAAGAAAATTACAGATTGAAACTGTTATAGTAACACAAAAATCTTGAGTTTTTATATAAAAGCTGCCTTTAAAGACTTTAAAGGTTTAAGTTATTTCAATGTATTTACACAATTAAGCTTAACAAGACAAGTTCAGGTTCTGGTGAATTTAGATTGGATGTTTATTACAAAGCCTCTGTTCACACCTTTTCTTTCTTCTTTGACCTGAAGATGACCGGCAGCCTCAGGGTCCCAGTGGAGGATCCAGATTTGAGATCAAAGAGGAGCAGGGGCCACCGTCAGGTTCTGCTCAGCCCAACAGGAAGGACAGCCAGGTGGGGGACGGAGACGGCTCGTCCCTTAATGTGGGGGACATTGCTTACGGTCAGGTCGGAGGTGAAGGAGGAACTCCACGTTCGTTCTCCAACCCGCTACGTCACCAAAGACTCATGCGTGAGTGTGGCGGTGCCTTGCAGCAGCAGCAGGGAAGTCTTGATGGACAGAAACTTTTGTCAAGGACTTTTGGAGCAAGCAGAAGTGACACCGTTTCACCAGGCAGAGCCGAGGAGCCTGCGGGGCCGTCGGCCCCAGACACCTCTGGGGAGCCCTCGGCGGACCGGCCTCACCACTGCTTGGAGTGCGGCAAAACCTTCCGTCTGATCTCCAGCCTGAAGAAGCACATCCGCATCCACACGGGCGAGAAGCCGTACCCGTGCGCGGTGTGCGGCCGCCGCTTCCGTGAGTCCGGGGCGCTGAAGACGCACCTGCGCATTCACACCGGCGAGAAGCCCTACTCCTGCTCCGAATGCGGCAACTGCTTCCGCCACCTGGACGGTCTGCGCAAGCACCGGCGCACGCACACGGGTGAGAAACCCTACGTGTGCGCCATCTGCGGGAAGCGCCTGAGTCGCCTGCAGCACCTCAAACACCACCAGCTCATCCACACCGGGGAGAGGCCGTGCTGCTGCCCCTTCTGCAACCGCACCTTCAAGGAGCCCGCGGCGCTGCGCAAGCATGTCCGGACGCACCGCGACGAGGGCGGCCACATGGGCATCGGGCCCATCGAGGAGACGGACCCAGACGCCATGGACGACGTCAATAACCTGCATCCTGCAGCTCCCTCTCCTCAGATGCGGTTCGGGGAGTGGGGGGCGGAGGAGGAGGACGGCTCGGTTGCAGACTGTGTTTAGGAATGAAGAAGTAGTGACTTTTTGTTTGTTTGTCTTCAAAAAACAAACAAAGCATGACCGATAACACCAACACATTTCTGTTCCAGTCGACCATTTTAACACCCTAAAATTAAATTTTTTTGGATCTTATTTTAAAATGTCAACTTTTCCAAAGCCTTCTGTTTGAGTAGTTGAAACAAAGTTGTTACGACACACAAATGCTCAAAAATGTTCATAAGTCAACTTTAGATGTCACCTTTAAAAGTAATCAGCTTTTCCAAAACTGCATGTCTTCAAGAAAATCAAATTTATAAATGTTGAAACTTACATCAATTAACTTCAAGATTCAATTTAAGGTCAACTGTGTCATATTTCCCCCACATATTTAGATTGTTTTTAAGAAAATTATGAAGTTTGAAATATGCTTATAGGTCAAATGTTTGCTGACACTTATCATTGGCATAACATTAATCATTTTTTGCCTTTTTATCTATTCTCAAAATTTGAAAGGAATCCTTTTCCTGCTGAAACATCCCACCATTTGTTGATCTAACTATAATCAGTAGGTAGAACATATTATTAGTACTGGATAATAAATTCTCCAATAAAGAATATTTATTACAACAGGCATGTGATCAAAATCTATAGATAAGATATATTAAATAATTTCACTGCACTGCATTCTGGGGGATGTAGGCAGAGGAAAGGCTTCAACTTCTCAACCTGGGCTCAACAACTCACTCACTCTTTGGTTACCAAGCAACTCACTCACTCTTTGGTTACCTAGCAACTCACTCACTCTTTGGTTACCTAGCAACTCACTCACTCTTTGGTTACCTAGCAACTCACTCACTCTTTGGTTACCAAGCAACGGACAGCAGCAGTTTCAAGTTTTGTGCCTCAGAACAGCTTAAAAACACCCAAAAACCCCAAAAACAACAGCATGAAGGGAGAACATGAGTTCAACAGCTGGAGAGGAAATTATGGATTAAACAGGATTTGTTCTAGTGTTTTTATGTTCTAGTGTTTTTATGTTCTAGTGTTTTTATCTTTGAAACAATCACCTCTTTGACTCCTCCACACACCGTTTGTGTAACTGTGTGCGGATATCTGTGTCATTTTACCATTAAAGCTGTTTCTCCAGGCACTGTTCCAGGACTTTCCAGGTCATGGCAGTCTGGAGCTTCAGGAAGATCCCAAACAATCGGTGATGGGTAAAACCTGGACATAATTTGGTGTTTCAGCAAGATGAGGACTCTAAACACATCCTATCTGGTTTTAGGTTGGATTCTTCTATGTGTGTGTGTTTCTGTGAAACAAACCCTTCTCCAGTCTGTAGCCTTCCACCTTAGAGATTTTTCCACTTTTTGCTTTTGACTCCCTGTTTGGGGTCATTGAACATATCTTAGTATTTAAGGAATATAAACTGAGACTACATGAAAAAGTTAGGATTTACAATCCATATCAGCCTCTACTATCACCATACCCAGTTCAAACCCATTGTTTTAATCATCTTCATAACTAACTCCACGCATCTGCATTTTTTAATCTTCTTGCTTTCAACAAAGCCTTTCTGTTCTAGGATTAGTTTCACTGTTATCAGCTGGTTGTTCGCCTCCTCAAACCTGCTCTAAATCTTTCTGTATATAGATCAAATGAGCTTTGTTTGGTTTTAACTGGCTCTCTGTTTGTAGATGAACGTTCTCGTGCAACAATGACGTAAAGCTGTGATGTGATTTATGATTTTAGGACGTCAACATGTGATGTAAATACTTGACCTTTGAGCTTTTTCATAAAGGCTGTTGGGGCGCTAAGCTTTGGGCTACACTTTGGTGTTATTTGACATATATACCAATATAATCTCCAACTATATATAACAATATGGTTACTCTCAAAGTCTTTGAAATATATTAGATGATGTGTATCCAAGACTTCTCATGCTAAAGTTGTTTATGCCCCAAATAATCAGTTTTATTTGACCTTCCAGAAGGACCTCTGCATGTAGGCTCTTAAGAAGTCAATGCTACATATGAAATGAGTGAAGTTTTATATGCCTTTGTGAACTACAACAATAAATAAAATCACTTTCAGTCTTTTGAGGTTCTGTAAATATGATTCAATTAAAGGACTGGGTTTCTACTTATTGTCTTACTGTGTTTTTTGTTGGTTTTTCAAAATGTTTCAGTGTTGATCAAGTTGGACAAAAAGAGTGCATCCAAACCTGGAGGTCTAATAATTTCTCTTTTCTCAATTCTGATAAGATCCCTACATATAATTATGTTTTTTGTTCCACATCTTCAGTTTTCTAAAGGACACAAATCAAACAATAGTCATTAAATCATATATTTTTTCTCTAATCTCACCAAAAGTTTTTGAAAGTTTACAAACGTATCCTTTCCTCTTTAAAAATTAAAACTCCACTGCGAACTGCGACTCTATAGACTTCGCTCTAGATGGTTCCTCTGGTTTTCTTGAACATCCAAACCAGTTTCCTCTTAGAAAATTTGAATGTGGATGTTGGAACCAAGTGGATATTGCAAGAATTTGATCCCGACATTCATGACGATGCTAAGACATTTGACAAAAACAATACTACATATGTATGACGGTGCTTTTAAAATGACTTGTCTTAGATTGTGCAATCATTCTAACATGCATTTATTAGCCTCTAACCAGTAGGAGTGTAAGTACCGGGAAGCAAATCTGATTCAGTTCATGACCTGCTAAATTGAAGTTGTTTTCCTTGAAAGAACAAGTTTCTCCTTGTGGTGGAGCCAAAGGACCATTAGAGTCCTGCAAGTTTACGATTTAGGAGACGGTGAACTGTCAACATTAAAATGAAACTAGAATGAAACTAATGTGTGGCACAAAGACAAACTGATAAGAAAATAACATTAGATTTAAGTATAAAATGTTCTTTATTATCAGTCTTAATAGTTCACATTTTATACACAGTAAATTAACATTTGAACTACTGCCATTGTCATTAATCACGACAATGAAATAAAAACAAAGTATTGTAAATGCAGTCATTTAAAAGTACAAGAAATAAATAATCTTTATTACAAATTAAAACCAGTCCATAAAATTCATTTTAAAACTATGTATTTTCCAGACGCACGGTGCCATTTTATGATGCAATCAATGAACTGTGTTATCTTCAGTTGTTATAAAATGCTTCATATATCAAACATAACTTGAAAGAAATTTGACTTTATAATTTGATGCCTTGAAATTGGACTTCTGTCTCTTTAAGAAGCTCTTCCTCCTGACATTAGAACAAACTTAGAATCCAGAAACTGGAGACATTTAGATCAATACTATAATTTTTAGATCACTCTGGCTTATTAAAGGGGTATCTTTTTTATCAACATTATTAGATTCTTTTTCCTTTGGTTTGTTATTTTGCTTGTATTTACTTCTAATTCCCTTTAAGCATTTTGAATTGCCTTGCTGCTTAACATGTGCAACATAAATAAAATTACCTACATTTTGCTTTCAGCTCATCATTACAAAGATGCTTCTAATTATGCTACGAACTACAGTTATTAGTAGCGTTTGATTGAGAAGTACTTTGTATGATGAGCTCAGCAGATGTGCAGTTCCCCCCTGTGTTTGCTAATTGCTGCTGCTAGTCTGAAGGAGCTGAGTTAGGAAAGCCAGAAAAGAGGAGTGATCTGATTACCACCAGAGATTCAAATATTGCACAAATATGCATCAAAAAGTAAAAGCAACACTCTGGTTATGTTTTTAATGAGATTTTCACATTATGACAGAAAATAAAGCTAAACAAAAAGTAAATTTTATAAAATACCTCCAGCTCCTTTTGAATCTGAAATATTTTTATTCTAGGAAAAAATAAATCCAGAGCCATCCCTTCAATTCATCCTTTCCTTTGTGGAAGTTATCTGTTAAATTGCAGAGGATGTATAAAAAAAATCTTGTTTTTTCACTTTCACAGGTTGGCTATTTTTTTTATTTCAATGCACAAATGCACAACTTTTAGCAGCAGGATACGTGTTTGCACATATTCTGTGTTTCAGGTTGCCATGTAAAAGTATGTCCAAAAGGTTCAGCTGGTGCATCATCTTCAGTTTCCTCAAGCTGCATAACCATCTGGTTTTGCAGAACAACTGTTTGCCTTTTCTGTTTCTCTCATTATCTTGTGGTGCATTTAGTACCCTTTAAGTTGTTTTCAGGGATGGAAATCATTAAATTGTACCAACAAATATTCAGGGATTGGCTCCTGACTGACCCACAATATGTTTACACTCTGCGTGTTGATGTGTGTGTGTGTGTGTGTGTGTGTGTGTGTGTGTGTGTGTGTGTGTGTGTGTGTGTGTGTGTGTGTGTGTGTGTGTGTGTGTGTGTGTGTGTGTGTGTGTGTATCTTGGCAGCTAATGACGCCGCTACGCCGAGCAACTGGGCAGAGAAATGTGAGTGCAGCCTGTGAACTCTCTGCAGACCCATGCAGTCATTTCCTCGGCGGCTGAAAGTAAACACTCTCACTTTCTAAAAGCGGAAGTGATTCTCTTGTTTTTCTTTTGTGTCCCTTTGTTTGCCCGAGGCGCCTGCAGACCTGAGATTGGTGTGTCCTTAGCTTTTTTTTTATCATCCATCAGTCTTTATTCAGCCGGGAAACACAGCTGAGTGTGTCTCTCAGATGAGTTTGGCTCTGATGACAGAACGGTGTCACAATTACAGTCTGCTTCAGTGAGAGTGCATCCCTGTAGGCTTGGCTGTTATTTAGTTGTGTGGACTCATGATGTTACACTGTAATTTGCAGCAGCTTTGGAAATATCTCAGCTGGCAGCTCTGGTAGAGTTGAAGATACTTGTACTTGTTGCAATGAGTTGGTTTCATAATCTCTGTGTTATTCATTGATCCTCTTATTAATTTTATGACAAGACAGAGAGTAGAGTAAAAACACCAGTTAATCAGTTGGAAAGTGGAAAGAGGATGGCACAAATTCAAACTCTCCAGTTATGGCCATCCACCCACATTACAGCTTTTGAGGCTCATAGTGACTCTGGAGGAGCTGCAGGGATTTATAAGATTATTGACAGAACAGCTGTTTGAAGCAAGTCAGGATGGATTCATGGTTCTTCAGGAGAAAATCTGGCCCTGCCATCTTTGGAGGTGCCTAAGGTCGGTCCTGGAGGGCCGGCATCCTGCATGTTTTAGTTCTCTCCCTGGGGGTAGTAACAACCTTTTCAATGTTCTTCTTAGGCCTTCTAATGAGACATCATTGGATCCAGGTGCGTCAAACCAGGGGGAGAACTAAAACCTGCAGGATGCCGGCCCTCCAGGACCAACTTTGGGAACCTTTTGTAGCTAAATTGATACTCCACTCCAGCTAAACGACAGGTAAGAGTGAAACCCTGCAGACTTTTGAAGATCTACTTGTGAGTAGCTGGAATACACACCAGCTACTGTGATTCTTGCGAAAACTGATTGCATGACAACGTACAACAACAGCTACAGTTTCCTATTACAGTGAATGCTGAAAGCTAAGATCAAGGCAACATGGAGAGTCAGACACCAGTGAAGAAATACTCCAACCTGTCCAAACCAGAGGCTCTACAGGCTGCCAAGAGACTCCTCAGAGCTACTGCCTCAAGAGATGCACAGGAGAATCACAGCCAGGACAATAAACACAATGTTCCCCCCTCCAACATCAAGGATGATTTCTCAGTGGCAGTGAAACAACATGAGATCTGCGCAGAGTTAAGACTGAACAACACAGGAAAAGCAAACGAGAGAAACAGGAACCACCTGACACCAATACCCTTTGGCTGGAGAAACTGAAAGCTCACCACGGCAATCTCCCAGAGCGACTGGATTGTCAAGCATGAGTTGGGCCGCAACACGATCTGATCCAAGGCACTTATCTGGCTTTAAAAACTCAGCGCCCAGTGAACTCTCAGCAGCACAGATAAACCAGATTGAGTGGTTGGCCCAAGGTTGAGCAATCCTGATCATGACTGTCCAATAAAAAAGGACGATCCCATCCAACTACTCATCAATAGTCTCTCTCTGTACTACATTGAAGCTCCTGTCAGCAAATAAAGCTGCAAATATGAGCGGTCGCATGTCTTCAATAGACTTAAGGAAGAAATGGAGAGGTTCCAGTGGTGTGAGTGATGAACAGGCAAGAAAAATCCTGAAATGAGCGCAACGTATGATGTAAACCTCAAGTTTCTATTCTTCTTCAGTACAGGACGATTCATTTTGTGAAGTCAGACTCTCTCGTTTTGAATTTAAACACATATTTAGGTAGTTTACAGCTTCCAGGTTTGGATATGCCATATTCTTAAATGTCTTGGATGTAACTTTATTTGTCTTTTCTTTTTACATTATCCTTTCAAACACTTTCTGGTTATCTTTTAACGACAATCTGAGGTCCAGTCATTCCACATGAGGGTCTGATGACACCCAGCAACTAAATGACAGTCCACACTTTCAGATTCATTTTAATTGATCTAAAATCCGGTATAGATCTGGTACAACATGTCCTGCGGTTCTGTGTTGGGCAAAGCCTCCAGTGTTTCATGGATCCCAGCTGGGAATCTGCTGCCGCGCTCCTATATTTGCAGACATACATGAACCTCGACAGAAAGGTGCATCGAGTCATAAATCAGGGGGCTGACGACAGAGTGACACTCGCAAATGTGTGGCTGTGATCTGCGGAGCGGGGGTCTGGGGGGCAGGAGGAGGAGGAGGAGGAGGTCCTGGGAGGAAGAGCCAACAAGGAAAGCGCCTGGCCTGCCTGCAGCCTGCCTGCAGCTTGCGGCGAGCTTTCTCCAGATAGGATTGGCTCCCTGGCTTTCACCTCTCCTCCGTCTCCTCCCTTCTTTCTCTCCCAAGCCCTCATACGCACCAGTCCTCGCCAACTCTCCAACACAGCACGGCGAAAAGACGGAAGGGAAGACCGAGGAGACGCGGCAGCAAAACTTTTTTTTTTTTTGGACCAACGGGAAACTTCCGAGGATGGCAAACGTGGCAGTTTTGCAGGCGGACCACCTGGATACGCAACGGGAGTAACTTTTCTTTCCCCTCTTTCCTGAAGAAGAAAACAGAAATCAGGACGCAATTCTTCTTCTTCTGTTTTTTTTTTTTTTCTGAGTCCACCGTATGAG